AATGAAACAAAGAGTTGGTTCTTTGAGAAAAATCAGTAAAGTTGAGAAACTCATAGCCAAATTAACAATAAATAAATAAATAAATAAATAAATAAATAAATAAGAAAAGAAAAGAAAAGAAAAGAAAAGAAAAGAAAAAAAAGGGAACATATTAACAGACTCCGAGGAAATCCAGGGAATCATAAGGACATAGAACTATGTATCCACAGAATATTCTAGGTCTTCCTTAATATCTGCTCACAGCCTCTACTCATTTATTCTGTCTCCATCACCCTTCACCCCAGGCTTCCTTGAAGCTGAGCAACACTGAGGCAAGGGTGTTGTTACTAGCAAACTCTTACTGAGAGATGAGTGCAATTACACAAGAAACCACTTTGCATAGCACACCAGACATCCCAGCCACAGGAAGCTCACTACTGCTCAAGCATCTCCAGAGAAGTCGCCCTGTTCTGGGTTCCTGACTGGTTCCCCAACTCATATCTCACCTCGTTGTCCCTGATGCTCTCATCTTCCTTAGTGTTGGGGGTCTGAATCTGAAATGCCTCCCAAGACACACATTTTGAGCACTTATTCCCTGGCTGATTTGGGAGATGGGGTCTAGTTGGTGGAAGGAGGTGATTGGGGGCGAGGTGCTGAAGGCCATGTCTACTCCTGGTGTGGCCTATGCTGTTTCCTCATCTGTACCATGACTAGCCACTGACAGAGCCACACATTGTACCACCACCCTAGTCATGGTGAAGCATAGCCCTCTGAAACCATGAGCCCCAAACTCCTTTTTCTCATTGGGCTGTTCCTATCAGGCATGCTGGTTACTGTGAAACAGAAGAAACTAGTAAACGCAATCTCTCTAGTTGCCAGCATATCACTTAATATTCGGCTTTCTTCGTGAAGAGAAATTATAAAACTTTTTAGTTTCTTCTCTCCTAGTATAGGGGTGAGATGTGTCTACTACTCAGCTTCATGAAGACTGTTAGAAGTGTCTCTAAATTTAAAAGAAAAAAATCTTCCTTGAGATATTCTGTCTTAAAGAGGCAGAAACACCTTCAATGCTAAGGGCACATGTGTACAGATAGATATAGGTCCTTTTCTTTACATGTGCATATGGCAAAGAACATAAAAAAGACTGGAAATGCATTCTCCAAAATTCTAACAACAGTTTCTTCTGATTGTTGGGATTACAATAACATTTTCTTTTCATTTTGTGCTAATATGCTTTCCCTAAGTCTTCTGAAATGAGTTTATATTAATTTTACAAAAAAAAATGTCTTTAAGCAACAAGATGTGGGGACCCAAAAAATTCATTCTTTTGTTACAAAAGTTTACTATTCAAATGCAAATGTATTTCATCCCATCTCCACTCCTTTCAGCCCCTAGTTCTCACTGATAGACTTAGAAGAAAAAGCAGGTTTATAAACAGCTATAATTAATGTCTAACGTATGTATTTCAAAGAGCCCAACAGACAAAGATGAAATAAGAGCAACTACTAACTAATGGGCAATCGATTCTTAGATCCAAAATGTGGGTGAAGCCTGTCCTGGATTTATACCACGTATTTCCTGGATTTATACCATGCATATCTGTTCAGTTGTATTCAATCAAATGGGTTGACATTTGGCCAGATTCATGGCCCATGAATTTTAACAAGAGATAGAATTTGATAAAATCTATCAATCTCAATGTTTAGTTTTCCAAAAATATTTATGTCAGCCATTTATCTACATAAAATATGTAAGGGACCATCGCCCCAGCCTGAGATCAAATATGAAGGAGATACGTGCACTGCATTGGGTGTGTCCCAGGCTGAACAGCATCCTACCAAGTTCATGCTACAAGGAACCTCAGGATGGGCCATAATCCAGAAATAGGGTCTTGCAAATATAACTAGTTAAGTCTTTATGTATTTAGAAAAGAATTGATCAAAGGTAAAGTGGAAAGTGTGGTTGCTTGGCAGGACAGACTAGAATAAGAATCCATAGGCAACATGGAGTTCTTGCAGGCAGAGCTGGGAAGGGGAGGGAGCAGGATTCTGCTAATAATCACCGAACAGGAGATTCTTGTTGAGTAGCCCAGGCTACCCTTCCCACTCTGTATCTCAGACCAAGCCTCTCCCAGGCTGAATCAGTCTAACTAGCCCTGCTGCCCATGGGCCTGGGACCACTTCTCCACCCAGACTTCTTTCCCACCCTTTCATTACCTGGTTTGTCATCCCTAGCTTAGGCTTCCTGAGCCCTTGCTCCACCCCTTACACCTTGCCCCCACATAACTACATCCTACACACACACACACACACACACACGCGCACACACACACACACACACACACACACACACACACACACACACACACACACACACGTGTAGTGGCTTCAACCATAGCCAACAGGCAACTGTCCAGCTAGCTAACTCACCTCCCTGGGGCTAGAAAGACAAGATGAGGAAGAGTTGGGAATCTTTTCCATTCCTGAGACCTTGATTCATTCCTGTGTGACCAGGATCTCCAAGCCTATATAAATCTCAGACTCCAGTTTGACAGATGCCACAAAGCAGGCAGGGAAGCATCAGTCTCTTCTATGTCAGGGCTGTGTGTTTGGGTGTGTTTTCATGTGTATGCATGTATAAGTACATATGTATGTGTGTGCACACACATGTGCAAGCCAAAAGTTGATATCAGGTGTTTTCCTCCGTTACTTTACACCTTATTGGTTTTTTTGTTTGTTTGTTTGTTTTGCTGGTTTTTTTTTGTTTTTTTTTAGTTCAAATTAGGAACAAGCTTGCTTCACATGTCAATCCCTTCTCCCTACCCTCTCCCCTAGCCCTCCCTCCAATCCCCCGCCTGCCCCAACCCATCCACCCTCCACTCCCCAGGCAGGGTAGGGCCCTCGACAGGGCTCCCCAAAGTCCACCACATCAGCCTGGGCCGGGCCTAGGCCCTCCCCCGTCTTTACACCTTATTGTTTGAGGTACTGAACCCAGAGGGTTCAAATTCATCTAACTGGCTGGCCAGAGCGCCCCAAGGATCCTCCTGCCCCCTCCTCCCCAGCACTGGGATTACAAATCCGTGCCACCGTACCCAGCAATTCTGCAAATGTTGGAGATGTGAACTCAGGCTGGTGAAGCAAGTGCTTAACCTCAGGAGGTATCTTTCCAGCCCAGTTTTTATCACTTCCTGCTGGCCTCTAGCAGATCTGCCTGTGACTAGCTCCCATCTCCTCCCTTCTTGATGTGACTCATATCCTATCCTGTTCTGTGTATCTCTCACCTAGAGGGGATCTCATGATAACTTCCCAATCCTTCAGTGGAGAAAGCCCAACTCCTTGGCATGACCTCCAGCCCTGCCTCTCTCTGTTCCTGTTTGCCTCAGTTCCTCACCTAGTCCTAGTTTGCTTCTCTGTTGCTGTGATCAAACAATGACCAAAAGCAACCTTGGGGAGAAAATGGTTTATTTGGTTCATAGGTTACAATCTGTCATCAAGGGGAAACAAGATAGGAACTCAGGACAGGAACCTGAAGGCAGAAACTGAAGCAGAGGCCATGGAGGAGAGTTGCTTGCTGGCTGGCTTCCCATGACTTTCTCACTCTCCTTTCTTATACAACCCAGGACTATCTCCCTAAGGCTACCTCTGCCCATGATGGGCTAGGCCCTCACGCTTCAACCAGCCAGCAATCAGGAAAATGCCTCATAGTCCTGTCTGATGGAGGCAACTCCTCAACTGAAGTTCCCTACTGTTCCCAGTTGTCAAGTTGGCAAAAGCTAACCTGTTCGCACCTGCTGCAACTGCCCATCCGCAGCCCCAAGCACCCTGCTTTTATGGCAATGGAGCTGTATATGTCCTTCTTTGGCGTCTCCTTGGCTAACTCCTACACGGCTTCATGACTTCTCTTCCCTGGAATGCCTACCCTGCCCTAGCACCACCAGTCACAGCTGCCATCACCTTCCTGGGCACACCTCTGGCCCAGCAGTTGTCACTGTGTGCCAACAGCCTATTTGCTTTGTATCTCTCCCACCAGACTTTGAGCTCCTTGAAGGTAGTGCCTGCAAATTACTCATTTCTGTCCCCAGGCCTGGCTCCACCAAGGATAAAAGATGAAGTCATAAATGAATATGGGAATGGTGTTATAAGGGCACTTCTGACACTTCTCCCTGAGACCTACCAGGACCAGACTAGTTAAAGGACCGGTATCCTTGCTGCTACCAAGTAGTTAAATAGCCAAAGTTACCGTCCGGTCCTAGGAGCTTCCCATAATGGAGGAAGCTTGTTCTTGCAAGAGATGGTGGGGCCAGTGATGTCTCTGGAGATGAGTAAGCTCCCCTACATCTTGTTTAAGCTTCTTTCCAAAGACATATCTTGCACCTATTTCCTCCATAGGTCCTTACGCTGGGAAGCAATGGAGACCCTGTCTTCTATACATACACCTTCCGCCTTACCACACTGTGCGCCTCTGACACTGGGCAGGCAAGGAGTTAGACATGAGGTGTCTGGAAAACTGCAGCTGGGTCCTGGGCAGCTGCTCTCCTGACAGTCAGAACACTGCTTTCTGGTGAAACATCCTTGAAGTGCTGTTACGTTGTTTCTACTGTATCAGAAACTAAGCATTCTCCCATACATGCCCACGCACGAAAGACTTACCTCCTCCAAAGACTAACATCCTGGTAACATCACTTACACTGTGGTTTTTACACCACAGGGGAAGAAAGTTGCGGAAGAAATAGCCTAAAAAGTCCTCCATGATTTGGGGAAGGCAAAGTGTCACCTAACCCTAACAATATTCCACACACCTCCTAAATGTTCACTGAGAACTTCTAAAATTCACAACCAGAGCCTACTGACTTACTTCCCATCTTGGAGCCATCCACTCCAAATTCTCTGAAGTGTTTGCTTTCCTTAATCTTGCTGAATAACCCGAATGGATTCCCTCCTTCAAGAAGACGAGAACCCAGAGACTTTGAAGCATCCCCACCGCCAGCACTTCCCCATCCCCAGGCTTTCTGCTGCTCCCACCTGTCAGGGTGAGTCTTCATCTTCCGCCTTTCCCTTGGACTGCTGCAAGGAGGCCCTTCTCTTTGGGGCCAGATGGCAGACTGACACAGGCTCCAAGACCACCTCGCTGCCATACTGTAGCTGTAGAAGCAGCAAGCCGCCGGCCGGTTGCCCAGCGCCACCTGGTGGTCAGATTCTTTACACGGCTCCCCGCTGCCTGCCTCTTCCACCCCAACCAAGCCTTGGGACATCCGCAGCCTAGAGGATACAGATCCTCCTCTCGGGCAGCCAGAACAGGGCTTGGGGTATCAGGCCACAGTGCCCTTGTCGAGACTGAGCAGCCACAGTCTAGAAACCCCTCCTTTTGTCCTCGGCCAACCAGCAAGGCCTGCTATCCATACAGAAGGTGGGTCTCTTGTCCATTCTTGTGTCCTTCAGAGAGATATAGCTGAGTAACTTCCCGAGGAGGGGAAAGCTGACTCACCTATAGTTCGCCTGCAGGACGGTTGCCTGAAGCCGGGATGGGGAGAAAGCCCCAGTTTCCTGCCCTGCATTGTCTAGTCCGGAGCTGGATTGTTTTAGAGCCTGCTGCTGGAGGTGCAGGAAGTGGGCGACAGGCGAAGGACGAGTTAGGTAGCCTCCAGGTCAGGAAGATCTTTGGCCCATCATTGGTAACTTGAAACAATGCAGGTGGTCCGGGACCTCCTCCTTTGAGCCGTCCAGGGCCCAGCTTAGAGAAGACTGTTTGGCCTCTGGAGAAGGGAGGAATTCTCTCCCTCCGGTAGTCGCTGCTTCCCCTGACTCCTTACAGTAAATTCACAGCTCCAGATTCGGAAGTGTAACTTGGAGTTAATGACACTGTTCGTGGGCCTGAGACACTCCGGTATTTGTGGGCTCTCCTGACAGAACACTGCTTTCTGGTTAAATATCCTTGAAGCTGCGGTTATCAACAACAACAAAAATTTATCCTATTTTAGTTATATGTTAGTATAAAAACAAATGTAATCTAGGCTGGGTTCGTGGTTGAATATTCGTTATTATATTTATTTTTAAAATTTCAATATTGTTTTATTTTATTTTATGTGCATTGGTGTTTTGCCTTGATTGCCAGGATCCCTGGAACTGGAGTTACAGACAGTTGTGAGCTGTGATGTGGGTGCTGGGAATTGAACCCGGGTCCTCTGAAAGAGCAGTCAGTGCTCTTAACCGCTGAGCCATCTCTTTAGCACCCGCCTTTTTTCTTTTTACTTAAGATCGTTTCAAACATCTTCATGACCCCCAGAAAGCACAGTGGCCCCTAGACTCCGTGTTAATGAGTGTGGCCTATGAACCCTGTATCAATGATCTTTGCGCCCGCTGCCGGCAGAAGCAGCGATAGCGGTCTCTAGGACCACCGGAAAACCCGGGTCACTTTGTAAAGAGTTTATGGGCTCTTGACTCTTATGATGGCCTCTCTGTCGTGGAAACCTTCAAAATAGCCAGAACATCCAGGATCCAATCAGCCAACCAGTCCCTGACATTTTGGTTCCAGAATCTAGAGATTTCGCTGACCCTGTGATAAGAGCACATGGAATTAGAGTGGGATTCTATCATTATAGTCGGTGGCTACAATAGATGGTGGCACACGCCGTTAATACAAGTACTCAGGAGGCAGAGACAGGCAGACCTCTGTGAGTTCAAGGCCAGCCTGGTCTACTATGCAAGTTTCAGGACAGCCTCCAAAGTTTCAGAGAAACCCTGTCTCGAAAAACCAAAAAAAATTTAAAAAATAAAAATAAAAATGCATGTCACAGACAAGCCTGGGCACACACCTGTAAACTCAGCACTTGAGAGGCTGAGGTCAGCTAGGGCTATATAGCAGGCCTTGTTTTCTCATGTAACTTGGAATTCAATAGAGAGATAAACTAAATGAGGCTGGACCCACAAAACTTTGAATGACCCACCTAATAATTCATGAAAGCCGTTAGCACCAAAGGGCGTCATACCAAACACTCCTCCTTCATGGAAGCCTTCCCTCGGCAGCCCACACAGCTACTCAGTAAACGGGAACTTTTCTAACCAAAATATTTTTCTAATCAACAAATCTGCCAAATCAAACCATCAACTCGACGTCTGGGAAGTTATGGAAACATCTGTATTTACCTATTAAACTGTTTTAGAATCCTTACAAAATCGCAGCACAGAGTGAGATCTTACGAACCCGTTCTGGATCACCTTTACACATAGAACAAATAAATACTGCTTTTAAAACTAAAGTGAACCATTCGGCACGTTAAACGGTAAGAAGGATTGTTTTACATTCCGTGAGTTTCTTAAACTCAAAGAGGGAAATATCAAGATCCCCCCACGTGGAGCAAGGAGCACCTGTAAGAGATTAGGAGTGGAGCTGCTTGTTTTACATAAATAGCCGCATTGTGTCCTGAAATTGTGAAACCTGGAGAACCCAACCACACGGCCTCTTAAATGACCAGTTCCCGTCCCAGTTCCCGTTTTTTTAAACGAAAGCTTCAACTAGGATTTTTCAAATGTTTCTAACTAATAATAATAATAATAATAATAATAATAATAATAATAATAATAATACTTTTTCTGGGTGAAATAATCTCAGTTAATGGTGACAGCTACTCTTTGTTTCATTCATCTTCACAGAAGAGTTAACTCATGCTGTTATGTCAAAGCCAGAGGAGGCTGAATAAGGAGATACCACAGCTAAGCCCTGTGCTGACTCTCCTCACTCTTTGGTCCTTCAGCGTCCCCTCTGTGAAGCAGAGGGAGGCTGCTGAATGAGGAGGGACCGGGGCCGCTCAGGGCAGCAGACCCCCTTCTATCCAGGAAGCATAGCTTTAAATCTCCGCTTTCCCTTTTTGTCCTTTTTCCCTGTTAAAAACTGATTTCACCTAATTTTGCATTTCTTACTAGCCAAACAACTTTTTGAACTCTCTACCACTGTTAAGCCTGATTTTTTAAAGTGTTTGTGTGTTTTCTGGATTCCCCCAAATTCATGCAGGGATTCTAAGTACTCCCCTTAATGAAAATCCCAAGTAAAAGACTGCTGGAGACACGTCCACAATAATGTAGCCTGTAGCGTCATCTGCTGGTTCATTTGTAGTATTGCAGCCATCTAGGGTTAGAATTAAAAGGACAGACTTACCCGTCTGTCTCTTCTGTGAGTCAAAATAACAGAAATTCTTTTCCTGCAGAGAAAGCAGAAAGATAACCTGGACATCTCCTAGCACTGCCGATATGCTTAGTCCTGGTCCTGGTTCTCCTTAATTAGCTGTACAGACTTGGTAGGTAACTCCATCCTCAGAACCCCATCTTGGGCCATACGGAGGGGCTTTGTAACTGTTCCTCACAACACTAAAATCACCACCAGGGCCCTATACACAAAGCTAGGCCATGGGATGTGACTTCCTCTCCAAATTTAGGCATGTATTATCTCTTTCACATATAAATTGTTTTGAACAGGTTCTTTTTCATAAAGAATCACACAACCCTTCAATAAATTTCACACACACACACACACACACACACACATATAGTTTCTGTTCTGCAGACATGGTCAACCCATATCAACATTTACTGCTCCTACAACCTTTTAAGGCTCCATACTAAATCTTTATGAACTATAAAAGCAGGAGTCCCCGCTAAGGACTTAGATCGTGGTTGTAGAATAAAGGGCATCATCCACTCACTCCTTAAGAATCTTGTCCATCAATTGGGGGATTTTTTTCCCCCATGAGATCATATCTCTGATTTTATAACAAAAGTCAACGGGAGAGAGATCTTTTTACAGTCAGTCTAGCTGGAAGGCATCTTTGCTATAAAACTAGTGTTTCAGAAGTCTCTCAGGGAAAGCACGTGACGGAGCCGAGCTCCTCGGCCCTCACTGTGTAGCAGTGTTCCTTCTCATGGGAATTGAGTGCCACTGAGAGATTGGTGGGCATTGTCTATGGTGCTTAAACAAAGTAGAAGACTCTGGTGTTCCAACACAGATACCAATTCTAGACCACCAAGGGCTGATGTGTCTACAGTGCTTAAACACAGTAGGCAAGACTTTGTTTATATACACAGACATCCATTCTAGACCACCAAGGGAAAATATGTAAAACATCAGCAAATAGTCCATGAGAGTTTATCTTCTCTTAGAGACCAACTCATTGGGATATTTTTAATATTTCCACCAAATACTGGGAAGGAATTTGTTCTTCAAACATGCAAATAAGACAACAATCATATCCTAATTAATATTAATCATTTTCTCTGGTCCCAAAGTTTTTCTTTTCTTTTTGTTTATTTTTTTAACTTGTTTTGTTTTGTTTTCCAGACAGGGTTTCTCTGTCGCTGTGAAGCAGTCCTAGAACTCACTGTGTAGACCAGTTTGGCCTTGAACTCACAGAGATCTATCTGCCTCTGCCTCCCAAGTGCTGGGATTAAAGGCATGCCCCACCGCTGCCCATCAAAGTTTTTCTAACAGCTACAGCTCATTTAATCCTCACAGCATTGCTGGAAAGTACCCTATTTGTCCCCTTGTTACAGAAAAGGAAATGGAGGCGCATTTATTAAATAACCCATTACGTTATAGTTGGCTAGTGTAGACTTTCTGTCGTGGGCTAGAACTGCTCCCTGCTCTCACAGATCACAAATCTTACTGTGGATGTCATTCTGCACCCAGCAGCAGGCTTGGTGGCCATTCACACAATCCAAGAATGTGACTTCTGTGCACTATTGCCTACTGTCATATGCAACAGGAAGGAAACACAGAGTCAGCTTCTTTTGGCATCTCTGTCTCTTAGCACTCTGCCCACCATGATTTACTGCAACCAAACCGAACAGTGCGGAAATCATTTGTCTTCTTTCTCAGATTGGGCCCACTTGGACAGTGTTAGAGGGAAAGCAGTGACAGTTGTCACATTACAACAGCCATAAAACAATCAGAGTATTAGTATTCAGGCATCTGCACTGGCCTGCCCTTGGGGTTCTGACAGGATACGCCCTCAGCTGCAGCCACTAAGAGTACCACCTGTGCATATTCACTATGTTCCGTTTTAAAAGGGCCCTACCCACCTCCCATATCTCTCTCTCTCTCTCTCTCTCTCTCTCTCTCTCTCTCTCTCTCTCTGC